CCCCCCAAGCCGGTCCCTCATCTCTCATTCCTTCATCGCTCTCATGCGTACCAACAACCTGATCAATCTGACCAGTGCCGCAGGGCAACAGGCGTTACGTGTCGGGTTCAATGGGCAGCAGGAATGCCTCGACGAGGGCAACGGCCTTGCCTAGCAGCACAAGCACAGCGCCTTTCATTCTGGCCTTCACGCCTTCACGCTGACCCTGCCAGCCCTGACGGCTCTGACCGTGACAGTTCTAATCCTTCTCAAACTGACTACCTCCCCCTCTGGAGCCGTTACTTCCCCCCCGCCTGCTCACATCCACCTGACCATCCAACTCATCCAAAAACGGTTCCCCATCGCTCCCCACAACACCGCCGAGCGACCCCGGCCCCCCATCCAACGTCAGTGGCCGATGCCGACTGCTACTGCCGCGGCCGCTACCGCTACCGCCCCGGCGGCTGCCGCCGCCGCCGCTGCCGCTACTGCCAGAGTACGACAATTTACTGCGCAGGGTCGCCTCCGCTTCGCTTAGCACTCCATCCTGAAAATGCGTGGGAGGGGAGGTACGGCAACATCCCGTAATCATGGTTTGTACATTTTTGGGGTATTAGAGAAAGTGGCTGAACTTATCAAAGGCGACTTGGCGTCGTCATGCGCCTTACTAGTCATCGAGATGAGGATGCTGGGAAACACCGAAACATTAAATTCATAGAAAAAAATAGAAAAGAAACCGCTTTAGGCGTTTCTCGTCCCGCCTACCTGTCTCCCCCCAAGGCATGAGACAAGCCACTAGTAAGATTTCAACATGCATGCACGACTACTGAAAAAGAAAATCATTACCGTACATTATCTCTGTCAAATTGGTTGAACAGGTAGTCTAGATGGGAGTCGGAAAGAGTCACGTGACGTGGCAGGCGGTTGCGCATGTGTGTACGGAAGGCCGTACGACTGATAGGGCTGCCCTCGAGACCTGCTGCGACCGGCAGGCTTCGGAGCGCTTCCGTGATGGCTTCCAGATCGTCACTGTGCTGCATCAGAAACGCCCTGTAACGGATAATCAGTTGACAGTTGGCGGTTGGAGGGTGAGTAGCTCGTTACTAGGATTGTGTCCATGAAATAAATATATTTGGCATTTTATGCTTCCCCTCATCCCCCTCGTAACCCCCCTTCATCCCCCTCGTACCCCACCCCAGCCCAGCCGCCGCCTCACCGCAGCATCAGGAGGTTCCTGGTGCCCTGCCGGGTCTGACGGAGGAATCGGTTCGTGAAGAACCGCAGCAGCGCGGGGAAGGAGCCCACAGCCAGGCCCACGGAGAGCGCCACAATCAGTGGGAAGGCCACCCACACCTCCTGTATGGGGGAGCGGAGACGTGGGTAGGTGGGTAGGTAGGTAGGTAGGTAGGTAGGGTAGCGACAGAAAGGGCAACGGAGTGGGTGAGAGAGATAGAGAGATGTTGTGGGGGAGGGGGAGGACGACTACTAAGCGGGGGAGGGGGAGGGGGAGGGGGTGAGACCTCCTATCCACAGTCCCAGCCCCACACACGACCGCCATTCCACATTCAACTAAACCCGCCAACCACTTCATAGCTCACCCACCAAGCGCAAAACCCACCTAACTCCTAAACCCTGATCTGCACACTGGCGCCAACCCGCTCCTACATCATCACCACCATCACCGGCATCACCATCACGCACCTCCACCACCACCACCACCACCTCCACCACCACCTCCACCACCACCACCACCACCACCATCATCACCGGCATCACGCACCTCCACCACCACCACCACCACCATCATTACCGGCATCACGCACCTCCACCACCACCACCATCATCACCGGCATCACGCACCTCAAGGCCGTGCTCCACGTTCATTCCGAAGAACGCCGAGGGCAATGTGGCCACCATGAGACTGATGGAGGCGACGCTGATCCACAAGTTGACCAGGATGATGTGGTTGCGAGCCGAGTCCAGCTGCATGCGATACGTCTCTCTGCTCCCAGGGAGGGGAGGCGCGGAAAGGGAGGGGAGGGAATGTGTATGCAGCAAATCAACACGGGAAACAACTGTGCGGCGACTGACGCTCGAAGCCGCAAACTGCCATACAAGTCCAAAGCGATGGGGAGATGGAGGGGGAGAGGGAGAGGGAGGGGGGAGAGGGAGAGGGAGCGGGAGAGGGAGGGGGCGGGGGGAGGAGGAGGAAACCCCGCGTAAGATGACGTGGATGGGGGCGTTGGGGGTAAACGGACCCATTGCGTCGATAGCAGAATTAGAATCTTTTCGCGCGGGCGACTTTGGCCTTCTGTAGTATTATCTCTCTTCTCCCACGCGACGCGTTGGGACCGCAATCTGTCAAGAGTCGCCAATAAAATAAAAACAAAAATAAACACACAAAAAAAAAATAAAATAGAAAAAAAAATATATATATATATAATAAGATAAACTAAGGATAAATAAAATAAAAATAAATAGGAATATACAAAATCAAGGATTTGGCGACAGCATCCGTTCTGTGAAGGATGCTCTTTCCCATTGGTTGAAGCTTCTAAGTGAAAGCCGCCCAACCAAACCATCCAGCTGGTCTCTAATCCCATGCACCTCTGAATGAAGCGTTGCCACCCAACGGAACTGCAACCACCCAACCACCAACCGAGTGGAATCCAAAAAATCCTCCTTCTCCAGCAGCGACCCCACAACGGACTGGACCTCGCGAAGGTACGTCTCCAAAATACGGGAGGCATCTTCCATGGCCTGTCGTACATGTACGTCAGGTCGTTCCGCGTCGGGGCGAGGAAGAGCGAGGAAATGCGTAATAAATTAAATCACGCTTATGTGTCATTATCAGCGATGAAAAGAAAGACACGGGAATTGCATGACAAGTTTTAAATACTTGCAGGTGCGGAAAGACACTAAAGGATTTAAATTAAATATGAAATGGAATGTAAAAACTCGGTGATGTTTGGGGTGATGGGAAAAGTGAGGATTCCTCGGGGAAGAAACCCAACCGCCAAACCTACCAACCTACCTAACCTCCAACGGTTTTTTCTGCCACAACCGCCAAGACAATTGCTTTCGCTGAACCTAGTGGGCCCATAGCCCCACCTGGTTTCGGAGCATCTCCCGCCGCTTCAACGGATCCACTCCAATGGTGGGTGTCAACACACCAAAACCCCCTCTGCGTGGAGCCGCCGCCGCCGCCGCCGCCGCCACCTCCGCTAGCGGCGGCGGCGGGGACGCGGTGACCTCCACAGCCCCCGTCCCCGCCGCCGCCGCCGCCGCCACCCCTGGCACCGCCAAGTCGTGCGGCGGCAGCTGCAACGGCGAGGAAGAAGAGCTGTTGAGCGACAGCAGCAGCGAGCCGAGGACCTCCCGATCATCATCCAGAAACTAAAACGACGGGAGTAGAAAAAGAAACCGTTGGCAGTTGGGACGTTGGTTAGGGTTTGGTGGCAGTTAGAGCGCGGTCGGCACGCGGCAAGGTGATCCCCCGGAACGACCTCCGTCCCGCAGTCACTGAGCGCCCCCCGGGGCCCAGTGCGGGGTTGCAGGGGTAGTCAGCCAGGGGCATGAGACAGGGTAAGCGGGTGGGGGCCTGGGAGAGGCTGAATCTGCTTTCACATGCACTCCACACACCTCTTCACTCCCCCCCTCCACACACACCCCTCCTCCCCCCCTCTCACCCCCCGTACCACCCATCCGTAACCCGCACCCGGTTTAGGGCGTCGCACGTCTCCCTCGCGTCGTTAAGTACGGCAGTGAGCATCTGGCGATACCCGCATTGTGGTTTCGGGGAAAGGGGCGGGAGGACGGGAACGCGGGTTTGAGTAGCAGTAGCAGCACTAGCACTAGCAGTAGTAGTAGTAGTAGTAGCAGGGGATATCATTGACCACACCCTGCCGCCGGCGTACGACATTTTCATTAATGCGGCATATATAAGGCGAATGCGAACAAGAGCATATCGCCCATTATTTTCAGCCGTACACAACTAACCTTTTCAAGTGGTACCAACTGTTGTACGGTAGACTCTCCGATACCGCCGAAAGGGTCGCCGTTACCCAGCGTACCCTCGCCACCGCCGCCGCCGCCTCCGAAACCATCTCCCAAACTGCCGCCGCCAGCGCTGCCACTGCCGGCCACAGCATCACCAACGATTCGGTCCACCATCCAGGTTATATGCGCCCGCCGTCTTTCGAAGTACGACAATGTCACGTGCAGCAGTACTTCCAGTACACTGAGCTCGAAGGGCACGTGCGGTTGAGCTTCAATGACCTGCACATACATACATACATATGTTCATGCAAACTCGTTGGGCACAAATACAAGCGACACGGTTTTAGCAAAATACGTACGGCACGTACGACAGACGCTTTTTCCATTTTATGTAGCGAAAGCGGGTATTAACAGATCAAGATAGAAATGGGCAGCGGCAGCTGTGCGAGAGTGGTCGCGAGTGTGAAGGATCGCCACAGGTCGAGATCTAGAAGTAATAAAAGGACGGGGAATGAGAGGGTTGGGCTTCTCTGTGTGTGTGGTGCTTTCTGGCGTCGTACACATGACTCAGAAGCATTTCCTAATACATCTTTTATGCTGCCGTACACACAGGCGCACTTTGCAAAGGCAAGGAAGGCCGAGGAAGCCGACATTTCCTGAACTTTGGCAACCCACCCATCCCAGGATATGACGAAAAAACACAACGAACAACACGCACACGTACACGCCGTACATGTCGTACTGACCAGTGTCATGGGCTTTATGATGTCATGGAAGTCCCGGTCGCGCCTGATGACGTGGCAGCATCACCCCCCCCCCCGAAATTGGATTGGCCGGGCCCGTGTGGAGGTTTTGCACGGAGCAGAGGTGGAGGTGGTCGCCAAGGACACCGAGGGCACAGCGGATGATAGCGGAAGGATTATCGCTTAGAACAACGCAAGTAATGCCTAGCGCCGTACAACTGCACTACAACTTGATGTCGTACAGGTTGGATGTGCTGTGAAGGTTTTATTCCGTACGAGATGAAGAACGCGCGATGGCTGACTAACGCGATGATGATGTACATAAATACGTGCGTGTGCGTGTTTTGTATGTCCCGTGTTCGGCAAACAGATGCTCGGGGGGGGGGGGGGAAAAGTGCACTAGCACACACAAACACACATCCCCCTCCCCCACCCCGGGTGTCCGCGCACCCAGCTCCCCCCTCCCCGTCTACCCGCACCCCTCCCCCAATCCCTCACGGCCCCGCCCTAGACGGTGAGCGTCCCCTCACGTGTTCTTTATGAGGGTGCATTGGTCTCGTTCAATGACCGCCTTGATGGCCTCTGTACGGAACAAGATCCGATCACCCCGGACCTGCGGGTGTGTGGGTGTGTGGGGGTGTGGAGGGGAGGGGTGATTGCGGGGGCGTGTGGGTTTTGGTGTTCAGGATTGGGTATGAGAGGGAGAAAATCAATTCAGGAGATTGAAATGATTGTGGTGGTTGCGATGACCGTGGTGGTGCTGGTGACGGTGATGGTACTCATGCTGGTGCTGGTGCTGATGGTGATGATGCTGATGATGAAGTGCAAAAAGCAAAGTATCAAACTGTCGACCGAACTCCGAAACAACAGCTGCATCCACATTCCACATCCCTCCCCCCAGTTCAACTCCTTCCCCACCTCCCCTTATTCCCCCTATGTCAACGGGTTCGCTCATCTTTTTCCACCTCCACACCACCACAATATGCCGTACAACGCCGTACTAGTCGTACCGCCCCGCACCGCGATGGTGGCCCGCTGCGGCGACAACCTGGAGTCCCGGGCGAACAGGGACAGATCCCGGGAGTGCAGGCCCAGCTCCGAAGCCGTAACGCCACCATTAGGTTCCAATGTACGACCGTCGGAGCGAATCACAATCACCTGCGGACACAGCGGGGGACGGGGCGGGGACGCGGGGTTTACAACCACCACAACCACCGCAACCACCACAACCACCGCAAACGCCGCAACCACCACAACCACCACAACCACCGCAAACGCCGCAACACAAAGCAAGGAGGGGTAGGAGGAGTAGAAGGAGTAGGAAAGAGGAGGAGCTCTGGGAGGGGAGCGAGAGCGAGTTGGGGGGTTATGGAAGATTGGCGCTCTGGGGATGTGTGATAGACCGGGGGTGGGGCCAGTGTGCTTTGGTCGGGAGCAAGGTTCCACCGGGCACCTAGAGCTCCATTTTGTACACCCTTCATAATGGGGTTTTAGGGTTTTATTTAATCAGGTTAACCTGATTTTATTTAATCAGGTTAACAGAATCTAAGTAGCCAAGTCTTCTTCAGGCGAGAACCTAAAAATCAACATAAATATATTATCTAAATTATATATTGAAATGAAAACATTTTTTAATATATTATAGGGAAAATTCCAATCGTACTAGGTAAATGTTTGCACTGTATTATGTCAGACACGGTAAGCCAGCTGCCGTATGCGTACGCCAACCCTTAGACCCTAAAACCCACCTCAAAAACGGTATTCATTTTCGCCCGGCCCAGGATTTCCTGCACGCATACGTTCTGAACGCTTGGGCCCGATCTCAGCACGTGGCGCTGCGTGGCGAGCTGCCGTACATTGGACGAGCCAGCGGAGCCACCGCCGCCATCTCCAGATGCCGCGGCGGCAGCAGATCCACCGGCATCGCTGCCAGGAGCGGCAGTGGCGGCGCTGCCGCGGCCGTTGCCGTCGACGCCGGCGCCGGCAGCGCTGCCACTGCCGCCAGCCTGCGCTGCTTCTCTGCCTCCAACTGAAAAGGGTTTTCGGACCGGAGCCGCCCGAAGAGCTCGTAACCCACCAGTGGAACGGTCTGCTATTTGGCAGTACGGCCGATGGACGAGCAGCGGGCTGCCGTGGGGCGTCGCCAACTGGACGCATCCCACAAGCTGCCTACGGGCGGGCTTGAAGATACCGGCAGATATCTCGGACAGAAGAAATGGGTTGGAAAATGCGGCGTCCAGCCAAGCAACTTTACCAGGGCCAACGCTAGCAGTCCATGAGGGGACGTGATAATGTAATGCATGAAGCTGTCTTCTCAGGTACTGGCTGTATGTCGGTGCGCGTGACCTCTGAGGTGACAGCGCATTCTTCCGAGCGCTCCAAAACGTGGAGATGCGCGGCGACCAAAACTGAGGGCTGGAACGCTCATCGGATTCGCAGCCAGAAGTGCTGGGCTCCCCGCCTCGGCCATGGACAGCGTGGAGCGCGTCAAGAATTTGTTGACAATAAGAAGCGCTCGAAACGCTAGCGTGCTGCACTGCAAGGCTCCCGTCGCCTGCCGCGAAGAAATGCAGCAATTCCGTTGCGTTCCGGCGCTGAAGCCGCTGGACATGATGCATATTCCAACCTACTCTGACTTATAGCACCTAAGGATGCAATCCTTATACATAGTAGCAGAAAGCTTGGCGACACTAATTGCTTGTTTCCATCCTCGCGGACAGTAGCGAAGCGTCACACTTACAGAGAAACACTGAATTCCTTTCAAGGATGATGCGAAATTCGCTAGGCCATGTGTTATCTTTCGCTTAAGGGCTACGGGATTCTGTGCAGACGACGTTAACCATGCACAATGATGTCCAAATCGTACGGGTTTCCTGAGCCACAGAGCAAATGCTTAATCACAATCATTTAAAGCATCATCAAGCATCTTCCACAACTCAGCTACAGCCATTTCGGCATCCAGTCGCCTCTCCCGTTCCGCATTGCACAAACAAAATACAGTGACATAACGAAGGATATCCACCCAGAAACTGATCAAGACTGATCAAATGGCCAGGATCCCGTGAGCTTAATGTTACACAGCAACGCGAAACCGAAAAAAACTGATGCCGTACGTGAGCCAGCTAGTCCAATCGAATGCTCCAATGCAGATGAGATCACCCTGCCTCCATATCCAAGCGACCAATGCCTGCACGCAAAGGGAGCCAGAAATTTGAGAGAATGTCCATTCAGCGCCGTGTCGGGTGTCGGTAGGCTTGGTTAAATGAGTACCTCAGCCATTCCGGATGTTTCATCGCGTTTATTGCTCAAAGTACTAATGAGCGAACCTCACTAAGCGTTGTATAGCACATGTCCCGATTATGACCCCTCCTTCTTGGTGCCACTAAACCTACTAACGAACTCACTCGGGAAAACCTCCGCCCTCCGTGTCCGCCTCAACCCGACAGCGAGGTTAGCTTTCAGAAACTCTGTCACCCACGAATCTGTCCTCAACGCCATGGAGCCTCGTCCACCCTGCCTCAGCTCCAATAGGTTCCAATCAAGGGCTCCAAGCCCTTGCCCACCTCGTTCCAGTGCTGCCTAGCCTCTCTAGCCTAGCTGAGGCTTACCATCGATAGATCCTAAAACCTACCTACCAAAGATTACCTGCCTAAAACTAGACTGCACAGGACTATTTGCATACAAGGAACCCTTCCAAGTTTCTTTTCGGCCCATTCGATCTCGAGATGTAAGTGTGCCCATATCCCCGCCCGCCCGCCCATGGCTCACTCGCACGGCATACCTCTCCACCTGCGGGTGTGGTTGCGGCGTGGACGTGCTTGCAGAGATGTGCAGAGACGCGGTCGCCCACTCGATTGGCCCCCGCACCGGCCACTGGCACACGGGCTTGTCGCGCCCACATGCAAGAGTGCCTCGCGACCTGGACAGCCGCCGCACAGTGCTGTACCCTTGCGAAGCGAGATATCAGAGACGAGGGGGCGGGGGAGGACGAGGGCGAGAAGCTCCTTCCTGGAGGCAGCGCAGGCACCTCTTATCAGATGTCGTTGACGAGGCCACAATCTGATCACATCACACGCAAATCACAGCAGCAGTCCCCGCTAAAACAATGTGCTTTGCGTCGCTCCTGGCTGGTTGGGCCCGCCCCGCCCCAGTCGTGTATCTTGCTGCTCCCCTCGCCGGTTGCTCGCCAGGTTGCTCCTCCGCCTGGGGCCCCAATCGCCTAGGTGTTACCCTGTACTGACCTCCCACCCTAAGGCAGCTCACTCATGGAAGCAGCTCCTCTATGAGAAGACAACTCACGACCACCACCGGCCCTACCAGCCGACGAGCCTCTTCGTGAGCCAGCCGGAGGCAAAACGTCACAGACAGACCGTGCACCAGAAATAGACTATTTCCAAAAAAGAAGACATTCAATCCGTGCTACTGTTAGCTACCAGCCCCCATAAATGAAGAAAAACATGTGCATCATGTAATTTTTATTATTCTTATATTATACAAATCGCAAACAATATCAAATTGTTTTCCTTGTGCAAAGATGAAAAGGAAAGGATGCTTCTTGGATGGCAGCAGCCTCTGCCAGGCGCTTCTGCCTATGAGCCCGCCTCCGCCTGCGGCGCTAGAGGCGGCGGTTCCTCGAACAAGCAATCGTATATCGCCCCGGCGGCCATACATAATGCCATCAACCGGCCCAGTGCTCGCCGCTGCCCCGGCCGGCGCCGGCTGCTACTGAACAGCAACTGCCGCTGCTCGCGCTCGCGCTGGTCCAGGTCCGGCCCAACGATATTGAGGAGGGCGCCCGAGGCACAGACCTGCGCCTGAACGTCGGGAGCAGAGAGCAGACGAGCCAGGGGCGGCACGGCATCCAACTCCCTGCGGCCCCAGTAGAGGGAGAGAGAGAGATCGGGGGTGGGCACTGGTAGTGAGACAGATCCGGCCATGACCATGAGCCATGTCAGGGAGGGGCAAAAGAGGAGAGCAAATTGTGTCTGGGGGGCCCGATCCGCAAAAAAGGCAGGGAGCAGCAGGCTGCAGGCTGCAACTAACTGCCTAACGATTCTGATGATTAGATCCCCTGATTGGGGCCTCCGCAGCTGTAGCGGACCTGTGGGTACATGTGTGTGCGAAAGCTAGCGGATCATCTCATGAAGCTGCTAAATCGACAAATAAGATACACGGCTTGGAGAAAAAGATAGCAAAGCCCACCAGACACTGTGCAACTATTAGCCCGTTTAAGTCCGTTTTTCGCCACGCCCTGTGCACGCAGACTTCTAAACAGGTTTGCGTGCTCCATACCATACCAACAACCGACACCGTCGTCGTTGCGCTGGTCTAGCTCCCCCAAAAAAGCGAAAGGCATCAAATGCCACTTTATAATACTTTACGGTTACGGCTCTGCAGGTACGCGTCAAGAAAACTGAGAGCCGCTCCGCACCTGATGATGAGCCGGCTTGCAACTTCCCGCGACACGTTTTGCAACGCCCCGGCGGCCGAACCGGAAATTGGTAGCATGCCGTTGTGAAGCAATGCCACGAGCGTTGGTATGCTGCCACTAGCGCGTATGTCACTGCGGTGAGTGTGTGTGCAACAATGGGTGCAGTGTGTGGGGGTAAATACAAACGTTTGTTTGTTTGTTGGTTGGTTGGTTGGTCGGTTGGTTGGCGGCAAATGGACGAGCATGTGGAAGTTTTTGGAGTGGAGTAAAGAGTTTGTTCTCTTTACTCCACAAACAGCAGCGGAAAGGAAAGCGTGAGCGAGAGGGAGCGGTTGGGCACCAGAAACCAGATGACCCTAAGTTCAAGGTCAGTGTAGGAGAAAGGAAAGAGTCACACGCAGCCAGGGCCGGACGAGTTGGGCCGGAGATTTTTTCAATCTATACAGCCGTTCGGCGGATTTAGCGGCTCTGCGTTTCGTTTTCCCCGCCTCCAAATGGGCCGTGCGGTGGCGGACCTTACTTCCCTGACCCATCGTGCCAGGGGGCCGGCCACTGGCGAATAGCATCAGCAGCATCAGCATCAGCATCAGCATCAGCAGCATCAGAAACCTGCCATCTGGGTCAAGCGCCTAAAAGGTTTACCCAGTTTTCAGTTTAATAAAAAGTCGACACTGGCTTGCGTTGATTACGCGAATTCATTCGCAGACACCCGTCTTCCAAGGTTCGGACGGAGTAAATTGCGACCCGACGAGTAGTCCCCAAATCATGATGCATGGGAAGGCTTACTTGTCCCCCTCCTGAGGAACATCATGATACCCTCCTGGGGCCACCTCCAGGTGGTACGGCCCGCGTCCTTATGCGCTCCACGGAATGCTCACCGAATGGCTTCTGCGTAGGAAGATAGGTTGTGCATGGCGCCCACCGCACGTGTCACGACCTTAGCGTTTGGTGACGTGAGGAGCCCTGCCAACACCGCGATGCCGCCCTTCTGATGCACATGTCTACAAGAGCGGGAGATACGGGGATAACAGGGTCTAACTTCGCCTGAGATGACATAGATGCTACGCAGACCTGAATTTTTTTGCGTGGACCCGCTCCTTGGAGCATGTAGACAAGCACGAGAAGCAGTTCTCCCGTCTGCTGATTGTCGTGATCGTACCTCACCCATGCGGGCGTGCATGATAAGGCCATGTCGTTGAAAAGCGTGCATTAAATGTAACAAAGCAAAGGCGTAACCCGGGATGCTCAGTTGGGCCTTGCGTCGTTACATTGCCCCCCCTTTAGCAATGGACGTCCGCGGCCATTATATCGAGCATTGGAGCCATCCCACCTCACGCATTGTGCGCTGGTTTATCCATTACCCATGATATCGCTTTCTGCGATACCTGCTTGTTGTCAGAATCGAACCACCGACCCGAAGATTTCATCGGAAGTCGTGCGGCCCCGTCTCGATACCATTGTAACAAAGCAAAGGCGTAACCCGGGATGCTCAGTTGGGCCTTGCGTCGTTACATTAAATACCCCAGGCATACGTACCTGCGGCCATCCTCCTGGAAGCAAATGCTCTGGATGGCGCCCGCCGCGTTAGCCTGCAGCTCCTCATCGTCCTCCATAAGGAAAAGCAACAACTGCTGCACCCCAGGGGTCTCCAGTAGGGCCTCGACATTGTCAATTTCGTAGCACACATTCAGCAGGACGTTTGAGCCTTCGGCAGCGACCCGATTGTTGTGTGGGTTAACCAGGGCGCTTACAACACCTCGAAGGCCAGCTGGGCCAAACCTTATCCGATTTTCCTTTTTACGTGAAAGAATTTTCAAGGCTCGAAAGAGGAGAAGCATCCACGTTGCGTCTCTTCGGACAACGCCATGCTGCAGCATATCCAAATAGACCTCTACAGGATCTTCTTCGCTGCTCGTGTAATTTGAGCTTGTACTAGGATTGTCATTCGCATCGACGAACGACTTAAGTGCAACCTTCACCCGAACCTTTGAAGTTTCCAAGGATGGCAGACAGCTCCTGAACAGATTGGCGACATCCTGCATAAGTGACACAATTATAAGTTTGAACTGTTAAATAATACGTTCAAAAGAATGCTAGCCAAGGTAAGGCGTTTCATGAAATAATGCTGACCTGCGACGACGCTGCTGTTGCCCGCTTTACAAAATTATGCCGCGAAATTGCTGTCATTATTAGGTGTGCAGGTTTCATTTTGCTACGTCGCCTTCTCATGTTATGTTACAAGCTCGAGAGAGCTCGTAAGGCCCAGGTCCCCCGTCCCCCGAAACCCTGTTATCAGTCGATTACTACTGCGTGTTCTGATGGCCCTACTGCACACAAAATGGTATTGCGGCATACTTATATTGTATATTTTGAGGTACTGTGAGAGGTATTACGGCGAGCCTACAGCGATCAGCTTCCATGTTCCATGCGTTGACCCGGGTATCTTATTAGCAGCGCATGACGCTCTTTGGTTACCGCAAACCCGACACCGCCGACCGGGTCCATAGCGAGCATTTCGCTATCCTAGTCGTCACTAAAAACGGAGCTCCTCTCAACTTGTCCATTAGATCATAAGCGCGTTCGGTGTTATGGCACATCAATCCTGCTGGCTCTAGCTTCGATGGGCCCCTTTGCCAAACCTGCTCCATATCATATCTCAACACTTCCAGAACCACTTCTGATCACCTTATCATACGTCAAATTGGTGGCAAGGGCTAGACGGTGCTCCTCCCGAAATCATTGGGGTGTGTGTGTGTGTGGTTGTTGGTGATAAACCTAGCTACCTGCAACGTTTACACTTAATTACAACCAGTCTAGATGGTTTCTAAAGACACCGGATGTGATACACCAGTGAAGATGTAGCCATACGATGTACGACCCGTACAAATGTACAACAACATAAGCGGAAAAGTCTCGGAAATAGCTGCTTGACCCAATTGGATACCAGTTTATTCAGAAATACGCAACTGCTCTTGCACGTTGCACTACTCTTAGCGTCCGCAAATCTACCTGAATAATATGCGATTCAGGGACAAACCCGCACCTGCCAGCTGCGTAAGGAAGGATTTATGTAGTTGAACCAATATGTAATCTAGGGCAATGACTAAGCAACATGATTGAGGCCCCTAATTGTTCGGGTAGTCCCGCTCTAGCACTCGAAGAGCCTTTGCTTGGCCCATACGAGGGAATGGAACGTATTTGGGCTTCAAACGCCGGACAGCAACGGCCCGGCCTAGGCTGTTCGTTGCCAGTGCGGGTCCTTGCATGCACATGCACCTGATCTCTCGATGTCCATGAAAGTTATCGAAATCGTAATATTCTTAATTGGGTGTTGTTGATGAAAAGCCTATGGAAACTCATGGCCCATTATCATATCCAGGATATGATATCCTTTGGCTAACGGATAGGGAAGCAGCGGTCCCTTGCGGTCGTAGAACTCAGCAATTAGCGAGGACCTCGACGCAAGACTCAGTAGAAAATAAGAACGGCGTAGGTAACGAACGAATGCTTCCATTTCGTACTGTACAGCCGTGAATTGGCGGGACGACAACATGCACCAAGCCTTCCACTTACTGATCTAGTTGGTGTCGGTTCTGCAAGACTACGGACGATTTGCATGCTTTAGCATAGATGCCATAAACGTAAAAAACTGCACATTGACTTTAGTGGCATCATTTCACACCTGTAGGATGCAACGATCGCTGAGAACTGTCATTTATCTTGGCAGCCCATTATACCAATACAGGGTTGATTAGATGTATGCTTAGCCTTGAAGGATGCGAGCGTCTCATGTGCACATTGGAATATGACTTGACTTGCTCGAAGACCCGGGCACACCATACCACACAATGTCGGCGTCTTCCTCGTCAATATACTGGAACATCTGGCATCTTGTACAGCAAGTTCCTGTTGGCACAAATGGCCAAGCGAAAGCTTCTATTCGACGCCGTCGCCTGCGTGCAAAGGCCTACGCCATCTTACTGGACATGGCGGAGGTCAGCATTACGGCTAGGCCGAAATGATAAGGTGCACAGTTCCACATGAGATTTCAACAGCCTGGTCTGTCCATGCTCCATGCGCAGGAGCCTTACCCGGACGTTGCTGAGGATGAACGGCAGCTAATTAACGTGCAAACAGCAACAGAGGTGATCGACATCCACTATTTTCCTGTTAAAGGATGCTGCGCGCACTTCCCGCCTCCCAGACCCCCACTCCATCCATCAATGCCACAGAACACAGGTCGTTGGCATCATCGCCGCACGCGTATATCAAAAACGTTCTCATGTAGACACGACCTCTCCATGCTTCAGCAGCTAAAGCTCCTAGTAACCTTTACGCGACCATGGAAAGCTGCACTTCTCACCAAAGACGCTTCCCAGCGCTAAAACGCCGTGTGGTCACTCTTTTATTATACAAGTGCATTTTCTACAGGAATTGTTGCGGCTGCGTTCGGAGGGTCGCCACGGGACGGCCTCCCAGCTGTCCTGGCGTCTGGACCAGCTGTCAGAGCTCCAGCAGCAGCAGCAGTGAGTCGGAATCCCTTTCCCGTCTGCTGCGTTGCCCTGCCCTTCTTACATAATTCCCCCCATCAGGGCTTCGCATCAACTCCCCCGAATATTGCGGCCTCCTTCCCTGATTCCCAGAAAGTTAGGGTAAAGAAGGAGAGAAAGGATGACGCGATGGCCCTTTTTCAAATTTTCTTGTCTTGAAGTAGACTCCGGTGGTCTAGGGGACTCCGGTGCACCCTGACCGCCTCCCCCGTGTGGCTGTACACACAGCGCCAGCCCAAAGTATCGCAAAATATACCCTAAACGACGTGTCATCCGTTAGGGACGAGCGCTCGCACGCGCGTTCGCACTCGCTCTGCGGACGCTTTTGTGACCCAGATGCCAAAAATCCCCCTTTCAGACCGGGCCATGGCGACCTCACCCGGCTGGTCTCCCTCCTGTTACACCTTCGGGGACTTGGCGCCACCGCCAGACGCTTTGGCACCGGCACCCAGATCGATCCCGTCATGATGGCCCCCAACACGGGTCTCACCGGTCCCGATGCCTGCGAACCTGAGTCAAGCCTGACTCCCTTTCATGGTCTCGGAGCGCTGGGTGGCGGCAGCGATGGCGGCAGCGGAGCCGCCGCCACCGCTGCCGTTTTCGACGGCATTCCGGTGTGTCAGCGGCTACGGTTGCTGCCGCCGCCGGTGCACCCCCGGCGCGCAGCCTCCGCCGGTCAGGACATCTACAGCCCGGATCCCGTACTGCCAGCGCCTTCCCCATCGCCTCACCCGCCGCCGCTGCACTTTCTCGCCTCAGCCCGTGGGCCCCTGGACTCCCCGACCGCTGCGGCGGTCCGGAAATTCACACCCGCACCTGGCGGCGGCGGCGCCGCTGCCAGCGGCGCCTCCGACTCCCCTCTCGACACCAGCTGGTTTCCCTTCCGGGACTGCGCCGGCCAGCCTCTCCTGCCGGCCCTTGATGCCCCCCTGGAGCAGCTGCTATTAGGTCGGACTGTGCTGCAGTCGTGGGGCCCTGTACGGACGGCGGATCCAGCGCCGGCGGCGGCGGCGGCGCTCTCCAGGATTGCTGACGGCACGGCTAGCAATGGCGTTGCAGCCGGCGCCGCCGCCGGGATGACGCCGGCGGTGGTCTCTGGGGATGTGCCGTCCGTGGCTCCATTGCTTGCGGGTCCCTTGAGCCAGCAGACACTGGTGCACACGCGCTTCCATCATTTCAATCCGCTGCTGCTGCGATTGGATGGAACGCGGTCGGAGTGCTTCAGGCTGCAGCAGGAGGAGGCCAACATCTTCACCGCGGCCGCGGGTGCCGCCGGCGCCGCCGGTGGCAACGAAGAAGACGGATCTGCACCCGCCGCGGCTGCGTCTGTCAGCAACGGCAGCGCCGGTCTAGGGCGAGGACACGAACACGAGCTGTCACTTACAGATGTACCGGTGCCCTTCGCGTTAGCTTCGCTGGGACTGAGCGCGGATTGGTCCGGGGCTCTTGGCTGCTTGCTGCCGCTGCCGCCGGCGGCGTCGGCGTCGGCGTCAGCGACATGGTTACCGTTGCCGCCAACGGCATCCGCGGGGACGGCATGGCCGGCCTGGACACAGGCCCCAGTACATGCCAGGACTCGAACTGGTGACCTGCCGTCTCAGCCAAGCTTGACATTTGCACCTAGCGGCAGTGTGTCTCTGGGCGCTGGCGACGGCGGCAGCAGCACGAGTTGGTTTCGGATCCAGCATCTGGGGGCCTCCGGAGGGGTTCCGTTGGTGGTTTCGGAGCAAACGTCCACCACCGGCCAGTCAAATCGGTCGTCAAGGACCAGGGCCGTGTCGATAGCGGCATCGGCATCAGCAGTGGCGGCAGTGGCGGCGGCGGCGGTGCCGCCGTTGGGGACAGCTGGGTGCCGCAGCACCGAGGAAGATGAGGTGTTGTTGTACGACGTGGCGGTGATGGCACTCCAGGGAGTGGGTTCGGCGCTATGGATGCTGCGCAATGGCATGATCAGGTGAGTTTTAGACACACACACGCACGCACACACACACACATACATACATACACACTGTACGACGTGGCTGTCGCAGAGGTTAGCAGAAACAGGGATGCTAGGACAGGCAACCACGCACATTGGTTTCGTGCCTCATATAATATGAGTCATATTCCATTCCCTGTTTTCATCGTCTTATCTCACATCGTTTCCTCTCTCCCCCGCAGGTCACATCGCGTCCGTCTGACAAGTCAGTCACGTCTGCTGTTTCAGGTCTGTGACACAGGCGAGCTGCGATTGCGGCTCGGGGCCTTCGTAACGGCGTACGGCACGTACGGCACTGCCTATCAGGCTGGCTGGGGGGAAATTTATAACCAACAGCAACATCAACACCAACACGACGAGGCCTTGGCGGCATTCGCAGATGCCGTACGGGAGCTTCTTGCGTTGTACGACAGGGAGCTACAGGTGTGTCCGGTGGGGGGCCAGTGAGGAAGGGATGCGGTCATGGCGGAACAACCCTCGCTTCTAGTAGCAGTTTGTTAGTATGTTTACCTTTTTCTGAAGCGATTCCCTACTCGTATTACCGGTATACTGCTCTTTTTGTTCTGTCCATATAATATCCTATTTATTATGTACGATGTATTTTTGCTGTCGTTGCTGTTGTTGTTAGATGGTCGTGGGTGCATTCCCCGTACCTGCAAACCTAATACGAGCCGGGGGCTCAAGGGCTGATATATGATATGATATATTAATTTTTTAATTGTACTATTCTAATATATACAATATTGTTATCCTTATGCCGGTCATCGACGCTCCCCCCGCTGGCCAAAACCCATGGCCTCAAAACCCGATGCGTCAGGACCTCGCCGCCTGGCACAGGAGCGCCGCAGCGTCGTACGGCAACCGCGCCAGCGGCGGCGGCGGCGACAGGTACGGCATCGCAACCCCTTTCTCCTCGCTCTTGAAGGACCCCAAAGCTCCCTTCTCCTCGCCGGCGTCGCGGACGGCGGCTGTACGGAGTCAAGGGTCCGACGCTGACGCCGCCGCCGCCGCCGGCGGTGGCGGCGGCGGCCTGCTTGGTCTCCTGCTATGCCTCGCGCCCCTTCGCGTCCATTTACAGCGTCTCGCGGACGCATGCATGTGCGTGCCTGATCCAGGGTGGGTCCCACCCCTCCCACTCGGGACGTCAGCGGCGGCGGCGGCGGCGGCAACAGCCCGGTCACGAAGCGTGCTACGTCGTGGGGATGACGACCCAGGTACGGCGGCGGTGGGTTCCCTGACGCCGCGCGGCGCGGCGGCGGTAGCGGCGGCAGCGGCGCCGCCGCCACCGCCGCAGTTGGCGCCGTCGCTGTGGCAAGTGTACGGCTTTCCGCAGGGTCCGGAGTTGCTGGACCGACTGCACGCTTCCTTGATGCAGGTGTGTGCAGTCTGGGGCAGGTTGGGAGGCCCGTGTCCCCCTGGCCCTTTGCCTCTTGACCGTTCCGTATCCCCGTGACTTCGGGTTCGCCCATTTCCACACCACCCGGAGGGACCGGGGATTTACCCTGTCGTCAACTTACCCTGTCGTTAACGTAAAACACATGCCCTGAATCCCATTATTGGTATTATAATCCTGTCCTCCTACACCTCGTCTCGCCGCGGCCCCTTGAATCCACCCCCCACACACATATATACATACATACATACATACACTCCTTCCTGGGCCCGCAGACCGACCACGCAAAGACACCTCTCCTGCGGCTGCTTTTCGCTGCCGCCAGTATGCCGTACGTACGGCGTGTGAGGGCCTGGATGTACGACCCGCTGCAGGGCAGCAGCGGTGGCGGCGCCGCAGCCGCGGCGGCGGCCCCGCCGTCACCACCGGCTTTCGCTGCTGCTTTGCAGAACTTGTTGACGGCAGCGGGATTGCAGATGCGGTTGTTGGAGGAGCTTTCCGGGGAGCTCGGTGACATTGCGGCCCGGTTTCGGAGGATGGCGGCAGCGGAGGTACGTACAGCAATCTGTGGGCACACATCGCAAGTCTCATTACCTAAATGCATAATGGATCGGATATCTGCTTTAAGTCGTGTTTTCCCTTGTAGATGTACTGCCTACGCCTTCTTGTTCCCCACACGCGTGTCTGTCTGTCTGTGTCTGTGTAGGCGGAAGAGGCACGACTCATTGCACAGCAGTACGACGAGGCATTGGCACCCACATCCACCCCCGCATCAGCTGCAGCTGCAGCCGCAGCTCACCAAGCCTCTGGAGCCTCAGCTACAGCCGCCGCCGCCGGACCCAGCGGCAGCGGTGGCGGCATGTACCTGGGCAATCCCGCCGCCGCCGCCGCGGCGGGCGGTCCGCCACTGCCGGGTATCCGGGGGACTGACTTGCTCGGTGGTGGCGGCGGCGGCGGCGGCGGTGGTGGCGTGGGTAGCGACGGTAGTGGAGCAGGAGCTTATGGTCCGTGTGGCGATGAGTTCAACTACCCTATCGTGTTCGGGCTGGAGGCCCTTCAACAGGTCGGGGGGGGGGGAAGGGAAGGGAAGGAGGGGGAAGGGCGGGGCAGGGAGGGAGGGGCGGGGAAGGGGCGGGGCAGGGAGGGAGGGGCGGGGAAGGACAAAACCCCAGAGGACGACATCCCAGAGGACCAGATGTGCGAACCGAACGCCCCGCAATGTGTATGTGTGTGTGTGTTAAGGGGGGGAGAGGGAGAGCTGGAGCTGGGAGAAGCTCGGGAAGTGCAGCCTAGGCTAGTAACCCAGTGCGACGGTGTGTGTGTATGTGTGTGTGTATGTGCGTGTGCGTGTGCGTGGTGCTCAATTCGTAAGCTGCAACCCACCATGTCTACTGTTCCCCCGCCCTTCCCGTGACGGGTGTGTGTCGTACGCTGCGCGTACATGCGACAGGTTTCGGAGGCAGCGGCCGCTGCAGCCGCCGTGCGCGAGTTTGAGCTGACCAGCTTGTTAACGTTGCTGGACCGACGGCGGCAGGCCGCGGCGGCGGCGGCCGACCAGAGGGTCCTGGCGGCGGCGGAGGCGGCGCTGGCGGAGGCGGAGGCGGCTCGCGCCGTCAAGGCTGCCGCTGCGCAGGAGCGGCGGCTGGCGAGGTCGCGGCTGCTGGCGGAGCAGCGGGCGGAGCTGGACGAGCGAGCAGCAAGGTACGACAGGGTCCCGTACGGCGATGGTATCGTACCATGGCGTGTTACCCTTGCTGTGTCGTGCAGCGCTGGTCGCGATGGTCGTGAAAGTCCAACGGAGTATAGCTGGGGTTTGATACAGTTTCGGTTTTGGGGCGACGACGTACGACGACGTACGGGCGCTCCATTTCGGCGCTGCAAAGGTAGGAGGTGGAAGGAGACGCAGAGGAGATCACCGCGACCGGTTTTGTTTTCGCTGTCTCTTAGAGTAATAGTTTCAAGGGATGGCTGTCTATTTTCATATTTGTATGTTTTTTTATTTGTTTAATTATTTGTTTGATCGACAAATAATTTCTCGTTCCATCAAGATGTTGAAACACAATTTCGCGGGTGGTTTTTTTGTTTTTTGGCCGGCAGGGCCCGGGCGGAGAAAGAGCGCCGTGTTGCGGAGGAGCAGGCCGTGGCGGCGGAAGCGGTCCTCCGGGAGCACAATGAGGCGGCGGCGGCGCTGGCAGCCGAGCTGGCGCGTCTGCGCGCGTCGTACGGCGGCGCGTCGTACAGCGAGAGCGGCGCCGCTGCCGCCGGCGCGGCGGTAGCCGCGGGCATGCTTCTGGTTGACGAACGCGCCGCGGCGGCGGCGGCGCGTTTACGGCGGTGCGAGTGGCGGGAGGCGCGGATGGCGTTGGCGGCGCGGCGGCGTCTTGTATGGCTGGTGAGGTCTCCGGCGGGAACAGGAAATCGGATCTCACGTGGTATTTCAACCTTTCAACCGGGGGAAAGTTAAGGAAAACACACACACACACACACACACACACACACACACACACACGCGTGAACATGCGAATTCCTAAACTCCTAAAAGGAAACGTAGTCGTACGTCAAATTTCGGGTGCGGCGGCCGAGGGCCGCATTGCCTTCTGGCCGGTGTGTGATGGGGGGGGGGGGAC